TGGTCATTAGGCTCCTCTCCAGACTATAAAAAGGACTGCTTGTGACATGCCCCTCTTTGCAGAAGTCAACGCAGGATTGAATATTGGAGGACAGTACTGGGAGCTTGGCAGGATGGATTGCTGCCAAGCCTTATCTGTGTTTATTGCTGCCTGAGTTTGCTGCCAAGGTCCTTATCTGTTTGTTTTGCTTGGCTTTCAGCCACCGAGGTTTTGGTGTCTTGTTATTAAAGGACATTCCATTTAAACTTGTCTCGGCATTCGTTACTGGACGGAGGAGGGGTTCAGAACACATATATATATGATATAGGATATAATAAGATATTATAATACATCAATATAATATGACATGATGTAATATGATATAATATAGTTTAATAATACAATAGTATGGAATAGTATTGGCATCATATATATGACATATGATATATGATATGACAATACAATGCATCAAATTAAATTAAATTCGGGGAGCTGAATTTCCCATGTGTTGCTGAGCTTAAGAAGCAGAGTTGTACTACAATGCTCATCATCCCCTGCCAGCTCAATCAGGGAGCAAAAACCAAGGAGTCAGGCAAAGGACCACCGGCCACCCAAATTCGTAGCGTCCCCCCCCCCCACACCCCGGGCTTGCAAAGCGACCCCCCAGGTTCCGTTTTGAGCAACGCCCCAAAGATTCCCACCCCAATGGGGCCACCAGGAGGGAAAGAACTACAACGCCCGGCGTGCCTCGCTCCAAAAGCAAGTTGCGCAAGGCATCTTGGGAGCTGGATTGCAGGCCCGTCCGCTCGTCCCGTCTCGCGCGGCGACGGGAACCGAGAGAGGCCAAGAGAATGCGGGACGCGATCACTCACCCGCTCCGGTTGATCCACGGAGGCGCCGAGCAGTTCGTTCAGCGCCACGAACATCCCGCCGGGGCAACCGCGGCTCCTTCCGGGCCGCGAGAGGAATACCCCGCTCGGCCGAGAAAGCGAGCGAGCGAACAGTGACAGTAGGCCGCGGCCTGCTCGAGATGCACTGCGCATGCGCGCTGTGGCGCGGCGTTATTTCCCCGACTCTATTCCAGTGGCGTGGCTTTCGCCCTCTGCCGGCAAGATAGCGGCACTGCAGCTGGCAATAGAAATTTCCCTGGCTTGGAAAAATAATAATAATGTTAAATCCTGCTGGTTTAGCAATTCTTTTATTTCCATCGGCTTTTGTGTTGTGTTTTGTTCTCAGATTGTACCTCCAAACAACCTGGTCAGCCTCCTGCCCCCAAAGTCCCTCCTTCAGGGTGATCTGCTGTTCAGAAATCTTAAAATATTCCTAAATATACAGCGTTCTACGCGTCCCATCGTCCCCAGCCAGCATGGGAAGTGGAGCTGTGCTCTGACCCATCTGGAGGGCACCCAGCAGGTTTCTTTGCCTTTATCAAGAACGCTCTGCCAGCTAGATGTGAAGCGAAATAGTTAACAGGAAGTCCTCATCTTAATGACAATTTGTATAGTGACCACTGCATGGGAAAAAATAGCAATAGCAGTTAGCCTTATATACCGCTTCATAGGGCTTTCAGCCCTCTCTAAGCGGTTTACAGAGTCAGCATATCGCCCCCAACAACAATCCAGGTCCTCATTTCACCCACCTCGAAAGGTGCGAAGGCTTAGGCAACCCTGAGCCGGTGAGATTTGAACAGCCGAACTGCAATAGCAATAGCATTAGCAGTTAGACTTATATACT